CTGTGCTGCATTCTCAATCGTGCAGGCTGTTGAAGCATTGCAAGACAAACATGTGCGTTCAGTTGGATTTTAGATCATTGCAAGACACTTGCTTATGACCAACCAATTGGAAATAGGCAAGTGTCCAGTGTCTATCAATATGAGAGTTCTTCCCATACCAGAGTGACTATATAGTTCTTCGCAATCTTTTGTTGGCAACACATGGTCACATCATTCACAAGCCATAGCCTTACTCGAACTGCAAGCTTAGTACTTCGCTTGGGAACTCGATGGAGCTCGTACTTATCCAGTCCAAGAGGTCCGTATCATGTGCAACGTAGAATCTCTCGCCGATCATCACGTTTTGCTATACCCTCTTTGGGAAGACTGTTTAGGTAGAGTAGACACCAGCTTGCAGGCCTTCTGAAATATCGGTAATAGTCTTGGCTAAGGTCTGATGCTTATGCAGATTTGTCTCGGTTGTGGTTGCGGGCATCACTGTTTTGAGCTGGCATCATGGAATTTTGAGGCAGAGCTTGCTTTGCCTGAACTTGCTGCTGTTTTGGTCGGGGGCTTTGCTACGATGGAAGATGGGGTTGAATGTGACTCTGCAATGGAGGAGCCAAGGGTCTTGTGAATCAATCAGCAAAGCCCATGTCTCGGAACTGATACCAACTTAGTCTACGTCACTAGCAGAACTTTCTATCTCAACTCCTGCACCCAGGCAGCTGCCAACGCAGTGGGTGGTTTGCCAGCTGCGAGCCAGTTGAGACCCGAGGACAGATGCACCTGCTAGATTTTTGGGCCATGAAGAATAGCTGGGGTGATGCGGCGATGTGGTCAAAGGCTCATTTTTTGCACCTCAGAACCAGTGCGGCACGGGGTGCAATATATCAGCGTGATGTAAGGTGCATAAGAAAAACATAAGGAAGGAGGAAATAATGAAGCTTAACTTACCATTTAAAGCATTGCCAGCTTTTTGCCTGGCGGACTTGGCTTGGGACGGTCATTCTAGGCTTCTTAGCGGCTTGTTGGAGCAGCTTGCCGAGCTGCCACCTATTGATCTCAAAGAAGAGGTGCGGTTGAGATTTTCCGAAACTTCAAAGGCGTTTGGCTGGAGGGTTTTTGGATCCTAGAAGGCAAAGGCAAAGGTTCCTGCATCAGCAGACTGCAGTTACATAGAAAGAACTTTAAGTTAAGTTTCCATAAACACCCAGGAACCAAATGAATTGCGTGAGCGCTTTTTTCAAGGAAGCTCCCCCCACCCTCAGCGGGGAGCTTCCTTGAAGAAGCCTGAGCTCCTGTGTCCTCGGTAGTAGCTACCTCTTACTATTTGTCAGCTACCAGCTCTTAGCGGCCTACCCCGCCGGGGCTAAAAGAAGTCAACAAAAACTAACAACGCAATATACTGTAAAAGAAACAACAGCAATGATTGCAGGACATCTATGCTACCCTTGCAGTACTTGGCGGCCACGTGGGAGAGGCCGCACATGCCGAAGCCGCTCAAGCCATATGGAGCCTCATATCCATCATACATCCGTCACATCCTTGTGCACACAAGAAAACTAAAACAGCACTTCTTCCCCGCGGTTGGTGGGTCGCTTGTGCACCGCGGAATTGTCTCGCTTGTGCACCGCGGATTTGTCTCGCTTATGCACCGCAAGCTTCCATTAGATCCCCACCCACCCCCACCCCCTGCACCCCACCCCACCAGGATGTAAGATGTGATGATGTGGCCGCAAGCCAATCATTCCATTAGATCCCACATCCCACCCCACGCGGACGTAAGATGTGATGATGTGGCCGTGGGCCAATCATTCCATTAGATCTGTTTCGAGCTTCAAGATTTCGTGCCTTAAGACATAATTTCCTCTTTAGATATGCAGTCTGAACATTGCGATCGACCTTCGAGCTCGGGCCCGAGTTGTGCCAAAAAGGTTCGCGGGTGACTTCACTTTTGTGTGACATGCGCGCCATGGGTGCGTTCTAACCACATTCAGTTCATTGGTGCTTGGAGCCTTAGATCCTTGGTTCCTTTGGCAAATGAGCCTGGCTTCGGAAGGGACAGATCGGACAGTCCCGGTCTGGGACGGTCGCCATGAGACATGGCACCACTTCTTGGTCGAAGTCAAATGGACCCTTAGTGCAATGAAAGCGACAGAGAGACCTTTACTTGCAGCTCGGCTGATCAAACGAAATCTCCAGGCGGGACCTGCACCTCTAGTCCAGCTTCTTTACAAACTAGATCCCTCTGAATTCCGTGAAGAGCAAGATGTTGATCGTTTGATTCGATTTCTCGAATCGTCTCCTTTGAACAAGCAACCGCTGCCCGAAGCTGGCAATCGCATCGGAGCATACTACCGAAGGCTTCACCGCAAACGCCATGAATCGGTTCGGCAATACATTGTCCGTGAGGAGAAGGTACATGACGACATGCTGAAAGCTTTGCAGCGACTACTCAGAGAGCGTGAGCTTGATTTTGAGCAGTACGATTGCAGCATAGCCGAATTGAAGGAATTCTGTGGGATGAAAGATGGAGCATCTGTGTACTTCGAGGATGGAGCTTCTTTTGCATCGCCCTCGGAAGCTGGAACCAATCCTTTTGACGAAGGGGAGACAGAGAGCAGTCCGGGACGTGTTCCAACAGGCAGTTCATCTTCTCGACCTGCCACGGAACATTCACCTACAAAACCCACACCAAAGGGCAAAGACTTGCTCCAACGTCTCATGGAAAAGGGATTGATGCCTCTTAGTGCTTTAGATGTGATTCGAGGTTGGCTTTTGCTGGAAACCTGCATTCCTGGAGACGAGAACGGCAAACGAATGGTGAAAGCTGCAACAAGAAACAAGTTGACCTACCAGGAAATCCGAAGTGCCTTAACGAACATGTACGAGGACAGTCAGAGCAGCCAACATCGACACAGTGGAAAAGGTTACCACTTCATGATGGATCAGAGCGGTGACGATGATTACTGGCAACAATTTGGAGACCACTATGAGGACGATGAGAGTGGTTTCTATCACAGCTGGGACGATGAATCTTGGCAGGACCTCCAATGGCAAGCCTTTGAGTCAGAGCCATCAATCTGGGCTCAGGTTGATTGGCATGAGAATGATTGGCAAACTCCAGAGGAAGAACATGATCCTTCTGAGCCTGGAGCAGCCAGTGAAGACTTCAAAGTGCTGTTTCAAGCTCAAGAGGAAGCCGAGAAACATCATCGTGAACTGCAGATCATGATGGCTGAGAACGACCGCAACCTTGCGGAGGCTCGTCGCGCGGTCGCAGCGGCAACCGAAGACCGCGGATGGGGAGCCGGTCCTCAACAAGGCAAAGGCCGGATGACTACCACTTACCCTGGAAAAGGTAAGGGTAAGAACAAGAGCAAGCAAGAGGTCAACTGGTTTAAGGGCAAATACAGCGGCAACAACAAGGGCAGTTCAAAGAGTTTTTCCAACAATAGGTACAGCAGTTTTGGCAAAAAGGGTGGCTCACCTTTCCCGAAGGGAAAATTCGGCCCAAAAGGGGG